TAGAATGAATTTGGGTGTATTCCTTCCTTTTCTATGCTCTCATAGTCTGAGTAGTATTGGTGTGAGCCCTTCTCTGAAAGTCTGGTAGAATTCTCCACTGACGCTGTCTGGCCAGGGCTTCTTTTTGTTGGGAGTTTTTTTTATTACCTCTTCAATCTCTTCTTTTGTTATGGGTCTGTTTAGTTTTTCTGCCTCAGTTTGTGTTATTTTAGATATGTATTGTGTTTCTAGAAATTAGTCCATTTCCTCTAGGTTTTCAAATTTATTGAAGTACAATGTTACTTAGTATTCTGTTATAATCCTTTTTACTTCAGTTGAATCTGTTGTGATATAACCCATCTCATTTCTTATTCGGGTTACTTCTTCTCCTGTGCTTCTTTTGTCAGTTTGGCCAACGGTTTCTTGGTTTTGTTGATTTTTTCAGAGAACCAACTTTTGGTCTTGTTAATTCTTTTTTTTTTGTTCTCTATTTCATTTATTTCTGCTTTGTTCTTTATTATTTCCTTTCTTATGGTGCCTGTGGGCTTCTTTTGCTGTGCTCTTTCTGTTTGTTCAAGATGTAGGGTTAAAGTTTTTATCTGGGCCCTTTTTTCTTTTTTGATGTTTGCGTTTATTGTTGTAAATTGACCTCTAAGCACTGCTTTTGCTCTGTCCCAAAGGTTTTGGTAAGATGTGTTTTTTCATTCTCATTTGATTCTATAATTTTTTTAATTCCATCCTTATTCAAGGATGAAGTGATTGAAGTAAGTGATTGACTATTACTCAGTAGTTTTTAAGCAAGATGTTTTTCAGTTTCCATGTATTTAATTTTTTTTTCCTTGCTATTTCTGTTATTGATTTCTACTTTTATGGCATTGTGATCAGAAAAGATGTTTTGTATTATTTCAATGTTTTGGATTTTGCTGAGGCTTGCTTTATGGCCTAAAATGTGGTCTATTCTTGAGACTGTTCCATGTGCATTGGAAAAGAAATGAATACTTTGCTGCTGTTGGGTGGTGTGTTCTGTATATTTCTATGAGGTCAAGTTGGTTGATTGTGGCATTTAGATCTTCTATATCTTTATTGAGTTTCTTTCTAGATGTTCTGTCCTTTACTGAAAGTGGTATGTTGAAGTCTCCTACTATTATTGTGGAGCTATCTATTTCTCTTTTCAATGCTCTTAGAGTTTGTTTTATGTATTCTGGAGCCCTATCATTGTGTACATATATATTTATTACAGTTATGTCCTCCAGCTGTATTGACCATTTAATCATTATATAGTGTCCTTCCTTAGCCTTTATGGTGGATTTTGCTTTAGAGTGTATTTTATCAGAGATTAACATTGCCACCCTAGCTCTTTTTTGGTTGTTGTTTGCTTCATGTATATTTTTTCCATCCTTTGAGTTTTAGTTTGTTTATGTCTTTGTGTCTGAGGTGTGTCTCTTTTAGGCAGAGTATAGATGAATCGTGTTTTTTTTTAATCCATTCTGCCACTGTCTGTCTCTTTATGGGTGCATTTAACCTGTTTACATTCAGTGTAATTATCAAGAGATATGAGTTTACTGCTGTCATATATATATATATTTGTGGTGTTGACGGTTTCTTTGTTCCACTTAATTTTCTGTGCTAAGTTCCTTTTGTTTATGGGTTTTCTTTTCATTTTTTTCATCATTGTTGATTTTGTGTTTGCTGATTCTTTATGTTTTTCTTCTTTTTTATTTTGATGGGTAGGTTTGTTTGCTTCCTTTGTGGTTACCTTGAAATTTACCTTTATTTTCCTAAGTTTAAACCAGTCTTTTATTTCTTGATATCGCCTTGACTTCTCCATGTGGAATTTCTATAACTACACCATTTATTCCCTCTTTTTTTGTTTTGATATTGTTGTCATTTATATATTGACATCTCTGGCTCCCTATTTTCAGTCCTTTAGCTTTGTTCTATTTTTGAGAATTTCCTATATAGGTTGGTATCTGGTTGATCTGTCCTGTGTCCTAGTCTTAGATTGTTGTCTGATGTTATTGGTTCTCTAACTGGAGGACTCCTTTTTATATTTCCTGTAATTTTGGTCTGTTTTTTACATAGTCCCTTAATTTCTGTTAATCTGGAAATGTCCTAATTTTGCCATTGTATTTGTGAGACAATTTTTGCTGGATATATAATTCTTGGCTGGCAATTTTTTTCCTTCAAGGCTTTATATGTGTTATCCCATTGCCTTCTTGCCTGCATGGTTTCTGCTGAGTAGTCAGAGCTTAGTCTTATTGGTTGTCCTTTGTAGGTGACTTTTCATTTTTCCCCAGCTGCTCTCAGGATTCTTTCTATGTCTTTGATTTTGGAAAGTTTGATTATGATATGTCTTGGTGAATTTCTTTTGGAGTTTATCCTGTATGGCGTTTGTTGAGCTTCTTAGATGGATATCTTCTTGTCTTTCATGATATTAGGGAAGTTTTCTGCCAGCAAATGTTCACCGATTCTCTTTTTGTTTTCCATTATCCCTCCTGTTCTGGAACTCTGATCACACGTAGATTTTTCCTCTTGGTAGTGTCCCACATGATTCTTAGGCTTTCTTCATTTTCTTCACTCTTTTCTGATTTTTTCTCAAATTGTTGTCAAAGGATTTGTCTTCAGTCTCACTAATTCTGTCTTCCATTGTCTCAGTTTTGCTCCTATATCCTTCTATCGAGTTGTCTAATTCTGAACTTTTATTGTTAATCTTTTGGATTTCTAGTTGCTGTTTTTATATGGTTTCTAGTAACCATACTAGAAACCATACAACTGTCATTTTGTTCTTGTATTGTTTTCGTGAATTCTTCTATTACTTTGTTTGTGTTTTTCTTGGTTTTGTCTGTGTTTTCCCTGGTCTCTTTCTTGCTCTTTTGGCGAGCTCAGTATATTAGTCTTTCAGAATCTTCATCAGGTAGTTCTATTGCCTTATGTTCTGCTGGAAGGTTTTCTGGTTCTTTATTTTGGTTGCTTGCTGGAGCCATCTTGACCTGCTTCTTTATGTGATTTGATATTGACCATTGTCTCCAAGGCATCAAGAAGATATTATATTTATTTATTGTATGTTTGTTTACTGCATCCTGAATTTTTGTTTTGTTTTGATATATTGGGGTAAGCTGTGTGTGTGTGCTACTCTAGTCACTATTCTGGCCATGTTGAAGCTCTCACCTCCTGTCTCTGGGTGGGCGGAGCAGCTAGTAGGTGTGTGAGCATGGGACTGTTCACTGTTCTTGCAGGGCTGCTGAGGATGTAGGTGGAGTTTTTGTTGAGATGATGTATCTGTCCTACTAGTCACCTGGCGTGGGTGCAGTGGGTATTTTCCCTGGTCGTTGGGTTGTGTGTTGTGTGTGTGCTCTGCTGCATGTTGGATGGTCGAGGTGAAGATGCCTGGGTCATCAGTCACCAGGTGTACAGTGTGGAGACTCTTACCTACAGTCCTGGGTGGCAGGGCTGTGTGGGTGCATTTGGAGAAGGCACAAGTCTCTGTCTGGTTGCAGTGGGGGGTGATGTGAGAGGAGAGGCAGGAAGCTGTTGACTGCCTGTGGGTGCATGGTTGGAGAGTGTGCCCTGTCCACTAGAGTGTGTCATGGGGGCGTTGTGCAGCCTGTCCTGGGGCATCTAGTGCTGTTGGCTGGAGGGACTGGGGAGCACCACTGGTCCTCAGGCCCCTGTTGTGGGAGCTGGATGGAGTGGCAATACTGTCAGCCCTCAGGCTCCCAGAGTGAGTGGTTGAACTCCTTTCTTAGGGGGTGCGGTGGTGGTGAATGTCACAGGTCTACAGCTCCTGCTTGACTGCTGCAGGTGAAGTGGCTTTCAGCTTGGAACCCTGCCCACCTTGTCCCAATATGGCCATGCTGTGCCAGCTTGGCCAGCAAGGCACTGGTGCAGCTGATTGCAGGGGGTGAAGGGTGCTGCAAATGTGTGGACCCCCTGTGCCAGTGGGTGGGTGAAGGGTTGGGCACCTTGGCCTGGGCAGAGAGTTACTGGCTTATGGGGTCATTGGTGTTGAATGCCACAGGTTTGCAGCTCTTGCCTGGCTGATGTAAGTGGGCTTCAGCTGAGAACCTTGCCCACCTTGTTCTAATGAGGACATGCTGTGCCGGCTCAGCCAGCTGGTGTGGCTGATTGCAGGGGGTGGAGGGTGCTGCAAGTCCGTGGACTACCTACACCAGTGGTTGGTCGAAGGGACTGCTACTTCCTGACTGGGGCTGTGGGTTCCCAGCTTAGGGGGCTTGGCAGTGTTGAATGCTGCCAGACTGATGTCAGAGTGGGGTGGGGGATGGGCGAGGGGGAGGAAGTGTTCCTCAGCTCATGGAGCTCTTGTGGGGGGTGCTGTGGTGCGCATGATGTGTCGGGTGCTTGCACTTAACTTTTGCAGGTCAGGTATTGCTCCTATTTGACTTTGGAGGTACATGCAGAGTCACTCCTGCTTAGCTGTACCAGGTGGGGTGGGTTTCAGCTTGGGATGCTGCTGCTTGCTTTAATATGTCCACACTGTGCAGATTTGGCTAGCAGGATGCCAGTGATCCATAATTCTCCATTTCTGCTGTTTTGGAATTGTCTCTGCTATCTGTCAGTCAGTCTGATTCTTCAGCTTTGTCTTTGATGCTTAGGGTTCCTAGATTGTCATATATATTTGATTCACTTGTTTTTTTGGGTTTTTGTTGTAAGAGGGACAACATGAAGCATCTGACTATTCTGCCATCTTGCCCCACCTCCTTGACGTTATTTCTGGCTAAATAACTTGGGGCTCCCTTTTACTGGAGATTTTTGACTGAGCAAGAGCTTCAAAATAAGGATTCAATTTAAAACAACAGTACACTTTATCAGTATATCAGTAAGAATCTGGGAGTGCCACTTATTGGTCATTTCTAATTCTACAAAATTCATTTATGGCTACAAATGGGCTGATTTTTCTTGTTCCATTACAAGTAGGTTCAGTTTTCATCTATGCCAGTGGGAAATGTCTTCCTGCCTTTTGGGGCTCCAATAATTGAGACTCGGGGTTTGGGCCTTTGCAGCCTACTGCCGGAACTCTCTGGATGGCCAGTGGTACAGTTATGACGACAGCACCGTGGAACCACTTCGAGAGGATGAGGTCAATACCCGAGGGGCTTACATTCTATTTTATCAGAAACGAAACAGCATCCCTCCCTGGTCGGCCAGCAGCTCCATGAGAGGTAGGTGCTGCTTCTTCTTCGAGGAGACAGAGAATTGGAAAGTCACATTAGGAACTGGGAAGATGCTCAATAAGACATGAAGAGGAGAGGTAGGGAAGGATCAGAAAGAAGAAGCCTGGTTGTTGCTATACTAGTATCCTGTTGTAAGGATGTGGAGTGGACATATTGAAATCCAAAAAAAAGGGAAAAGAATATTTGTTCATATCTGGGGCAGGTGACCCTTGGCAGTGTGGAATTCTGTATTCCCTGTCTTACTCATATCAAGCCAGATTTAATTAAACTCATGCAGTATAAGCATAGGAGTCCCTTGGTTATGCAAACATTTAACATGCTTGGCTGCCAACCAAAAGGTTGGTGGTTTGAGTTCACTCAGAGGTGCCTTGGAAGAAAAGCCAGGCAATCTATTTCTGAAAAATCAGCCATTGAAAATTCTGTGGAGCACAGTTCTACTGTGACACACATGGGGTTGCCATGAGTCAGAGTCAACTCCGCAGCAACGATACCAAACCAAAACACTGCTGTGGAGTCAGTTCTAACTCACAGAGACCCTACAGAATAGAGTAGAACTGCCCCATAGGGTTTCCAAGGCTGTAAGTCTTTACAGAAGTAGACTGCCACATCTTTCTCCCACGGAGCAGCTGGTGGGTTCGAACCACCAACCTTTTGGTTAGCAGCTGAGTGCTTTAACCACTGTGCCACTAGGGCTCCTAGCAACTGGATAGGTAGATAATATAAACCTATGTTAGTCCTTCTTCTAGAAAGGGAGGGGCAGTTATAAGTGATGCAGGGCCTTTTCTAGGAAATGTAGCTGCTTAACCACATTCCAATGATACTTTTATAGAAATATGATACTCAACCTTGCTCGGAAGTCTAGAGAAAAAAAGTCAAATTTCACCTTATTATGTGACTTATTTCACTCTGCAAACCAGCCACCCTTATCTTTGGGACAAGAGAGCATTCATTATTATTATTACTCAGATTTTCTCCTTAACAATTTTTGGAAAATAGAAAAATAACACCAAGAATCTCCAGCAAACCTAAATCAAACCTAATGCAAGGTCTGGCTTTCTTTTACAGAAGATAAATGTTGAAAGAAGAATAGAAAATATATCATATTTATTGTTGGAGACAAGTAATTTCGTGAAAAGCATGTCAGTACTCATCAACATACTTTCATTTCTGTGCCCAAATGCCTTCCCTCAATTTTTAAGCTTAGTCATATGAGCAGTCAATCACAGATTATACCTGGTACTGTGGAGTTGACTCCGATTCATGGTGACCCCATGTGTGTCAGGGTAGAATTGTGCTCCATAGGGTTTTCAGTGGCTGATTTTTCAGAAGCGGATTGCCAGGCCTTTGTTCTGAGGCAACTCTGGGTGGACTTGAACCTCCAACCTTTTGGTTAGCAGCTGAGTGTGTTACCCATTTGCACCACCCAGGGGTTTTGTTAATTATAGATTAGCCTGTTATTTATGGAACTCTGCTGTGGTTCTCTTTGTTCCAGGGCTCAGAGATGGGGGAGTGGGAAAGGGCATGGCCTTGAAAAGCTCCTCTAGGACAATGAAGCGATGCAGTTGGGGTCTAGCCTTGCCTGTCTGTGTTTTCTCTGCAGGTTCTGTAAGCTCCTCCGTATCTGATCACTGGCTCATGAGGCTTGGGAGCGACAATGGCAGCAAAAGGGGGAGCTTGCTATCCTGGAGCTCCGCCCCCTGCCCCTCCCTGCCCCCCATGCCCGGCTCTCCTGTCTTCAATAACGGCCTCTTCCATCAGAAAAAGGGTATGTTTGACCATGTTTGTTAAAATTGCTGACTTTATTTTCATTTTCTATCAAAGGCCATCATTTCTCATGTTTATGAAAGTGTTTGCATTTTATAACCTTGAGCATAAAGAATCAGTTGTTAGAAGAGGTTTATTCAACTCTCAAATAAGATCTTCCCTGACCAAGCCTTTGCCTACCTCTCCTATCCCACCCACTCCTCTCCAGCCACAGGCGCATTCTTCTGGGGTTTACAGTCTGATGGGGAAGATGAAATGTAAACCAGCAAACTAACAGAGTGTTGTGACTGAAAGCAGTACTCAGGGCTAAGTGGTAGATAATCAGAGGAAGAAGACATTGATCCCCAGGGATGGGGGAGAAGGGGTACAGAGGACCCTGTTAGATAGGGTGGGTAGGGAAGACCTTTCTGAAGAGGTGGCATTTGAGCAGAGACCTGAAGTTAAGGAGAGAATGAGTTGTGTTGAAGTCTGGAGAGTGTGTTCCACACAGAGGAACTGTCAGCAGTGAAGGTTCTGAGGTAGGAGTAAGCATGGGATATGTATGAGGAGCAGAAGAAAACCAGAGTTGTGGCCAGAGCAGAACGAATGAGCAGGAGGGTGATAGGAGGGGGCTACATCATGACGTACCTCTTGGATCATGGTACAAAGCATGGATTTTACCGGAAGTGCAGTGGGATAGCTATTGGAGGATTTTCAGCAGGGAAGGATGAGATCTTATTTATATTTTTTTAAAACATATACTCTGGCTGCTGAGTGGAGAATATATCATAGAGGGGCAAGAGTGGAAGCAAGAGCACCAGTTAAGAGGCTGTTACAGTTATCTAGGTCAGAAAGTGGTGCCTTGGACTAATGTGTTAGGTAAGAGATGGTCAGATTATGGATATATTTTGAAGATAGAGCCAATAGCATTTGCTGATTTTGGGTTTGAGGGAAAGAGTAATTAAGGATGACTCTTTGTTTAGGGCCTAAATAACTAAGTCAATAGTAATGCATTTTATAAGATGGAAAAATTGGGAAGGAACAGAGTCAATCTTGGAGGGAAATCAAGAAATGTTTGACATGGTAGTTTTGAGATTCCTGTAAGACATCCAAGTCAAGATGATAATTAGGCAGTTATCTAAGACAAACCTAAGATCAGAGGAGCGCCCAGGGCTAGAGGTAAATATTTGGGAATTACCAGCACATGGGTGGAATTTAAGACCATGGCGCTGGTTGAGCTCTCCTAGAGAAAGAGTAAAGGTAGCAAAGAGTAAAAATGCAGGCTCAAACCCTGGAGCTCCCCAACATGTAGGGGTTGAGCAGAGGTGAAGAGGCCAACAAATAGTGAGACAGGAAGAAAACCAGTCAAATATGATTTACAGATGCAAGAAGAGCATGGTTCCAGATGTGGTCAACTGTGAAATACCACCTAGGGACTGAGTTAGATGAGGACGGGAAGGTGACCATGGAGCTGACCAGGGGAAAGGTCCCCATTGCTGGCCAAGCTCATCTGTAGTGTATGGGAGGGATTAGAAGCCCAGCTGCAGTAGATGGAGAAGAGACTGGGGTTGAGGAAGTGACTGTGGGTATAAATGCCACCAAATATGGTGATTAAAAGGTGGTAGCTACAGAGGAGTGCGGGCTGACAGCAGTTTTTGATTGTTTTTCTTTGCTAAATAGGAAATGATGGGGCACATTAGTGTTCAGATGATCCAGTCTAGAGGGAGAGATAGATGAAAATGCAGGAGACTAAGGGGATAACCACAGAAACAGAGTCCCTGAGTAAGAATGGTGTGTGTGTATGTGGGGGGTGTGTGTGTGTATGTGTGGTGTGTGTGTGGTGCGTGTGAGGTGTGTGTATGCGGGGTGTGTGCATGTGTGTGGTGTATGCATGTGTGTGGTGTGTGCTGGGTGTGGTGTGTGTGTCTGAGTATGGTCTGTGTGGGGGGATGGGGTGTGTGGGGTGTGTGTATATGGGGTTTATGGGGTGTGTATGTGTGTGGTGTGTGTATATGTCTGTAGCGTATATGGTGTGTTTGTGTGGTGGTTATGTATGATATGCATATGTGTGTAGCGTGTGGTGTTTGTGTGTGCTGTATATGATGTGTGTGGGGTTATGGGGCTTGTGGGATGTACGTATGTGTAATGTGTGTGGTGTCTATGTGTATAGTGTGTGGTGTGTGTGATGTGAGTGGGGGTATAGGGTGTGTGGTGTATGTGGGGGTGTGTGTGTTTGTATTGTGTGGGGTGTGTGTGTGGTCTGGTGTGTATGCGTTGAAGATGTGCGTGGTGTGTGTGTCTTTAGCCTCTGTGCTCCTTCGATCAGAAGATTGTAGCACATTCTAATTACTCTTTAAATTTTCTTGATTCCTGTTAGCTCCTGTATTAGTTTTTTAAATAAACTTTTTTATTGAAGTATAGTGTATATACAGTAAGTGTACTAATCACAAGTGTACATCTGATGAATTATCATAAAGTAAATGTACCCATGTAACTATCACCCTGGTTAAGATAGAGAAAGTTCCAGAAATCTGCTCTTGCCCCAATCACTATTATTTCCCTTTTTCCCAGAGGTAGGCATTACTCTGACTTCTAACACTATAGATTAGTTTTGCCTGTTTTGGAACTTTATATAAAGGGAATCATACTAAATGCATTCTTTTTGTTTAGCTTCTTTTGCTTGACATTGTATCTGTGAGACATATATATTTTGTCCGTAGCAGTAATTCTTTCATTTTATGCCATTTGTCAAAGAGATAACTCAGAGACATACAATTGTCTGCACTGTATATTATATATATGAGAGAAAGTCAGACTGCTGTCTTTTGACTGTTCACTATTGTCAGTAAAAAAGAAAACAAAACCAGAGATTTGTAAAAGAAAGAGCAAAGGGTCGGGGGAACCCACTTCTTTTTTTTTTTCTTCCAAGTTTTCTTTATCTTGTTGTTGAGAATATACACAGCAAAACATATACCAAGTCAACAGTTTCTACATGTACAATTCAGTGACTCTGATTACATTCTTTGAGTTGTACAACCATTCTCACCCTCCTTTTCTGAGTTGTTCCCCTGCATTTACATAAACTCACTGCCCCCTAAGGTTCCTATCTAATCTTTCAATTTTGGTACTTTGATCCCATATGCAAAACCCAAACCAAACCCATTGCCATTGAGTTGATTGCAACTCATAGCGACCTTATAGGACAGAGTAGAACTGCCCCATAGGGTTTCCAAGAAGTGACTGATGGATTTGATCTGCTGACCTTATGGTTAGGAGCCAAGCTCTTAACCACTGTGCCATATATGTGCCATAGTTCCTAAAAGAGCATAATGCTCAAGGCAGACCTTTTTTACTAGTTAAGCTAAACTGTTGTTCTGCTTTAAGATGATTTCAGGGGATATTTTTGGTTTAAGGTTTAAAGATTATCTCAGACCAGTAGTTTCAGGGGTTCATCTACCCTCCATGGCTCCAGAAAGTCTGGAGTCCATGAGAATTTTAAATTCTGTTTTGCATTTTCTGCCTTTTGATCAGGATTCTTCTATGGAATCTTTGATCAAAATGTTCATTAATGGTAGCCAGGCACCATCCAGTTCTTCTGGTCTCATGGCAAAGGAGGCAGTTGTTCATGGAGGCAATTAGCCACACATTGCATATCCTCCTCCTATTCCTAACTCTCCTTCTCCTCTATTGATCCAGGTGAATAGAGAGAGACCAGTTGTTGTGCCTTGGATGGCTGCTTGCGAGCTTTTAAGACCCCAGGCACTATGCAACAAACTAGGAGGTAGAACAGAAGCACTAAGCACATTATTAGGCCAATTAACTAGAATGTCCCATGAAACCATAACCCTAAACCTCCAAACCCAGGAACCAAATCCCATGAAGTATTTGGTTGTACATAAGCAGCCTCAGCAGCTACTCCTTTTTTTGGACCTTGTTATAAATATATCTATCACACAACTTTTGTCAATTCAACTTTTTACAGGTGTACAGCTTCTTCACAGCAATTACAATAATTGGCTGTGCAACCCTACTGTTAATCACTGCGATTTTTCCATCACCATTAACCCCCCTTTTCCCCCTCTCTTCCGCCCCTGGTAACCACTAATAAACTTTGGTCTCTATACATTTGCCTTTCTTGTCTTTTTCTGTTAGTGAGGTCATACAATATTAGTCCTTTTGTGATTGGCTTATTTCAGTTCAGCATAATGTCTTCAAGCTCCATCCCTACTGTAGCCTGTATCAAGACTTCATTTCTCCTACTGGCTGAGTGGTATTCCATTGTAAGTATGTACCACATTTTGTTTGTTCATTCATCTGTTAATGGGCATTTCGGTTGTTTCTACATTTTGGCTATTGTGAATAGTGCTGCAAAGAACATTGGTGTACAAGTCTCTGTTTGATTCTCTGCTTTCAAGTCTTTCGGATATACACATAGGAGTAGAATTTCTGGGTCATATAGTAGCTCTATTTTTAGTTTTTTATGGAACTGCCACACTATTTTCCATAACAGCTGTATCATTTTACATTCCCACCAGCAGTGGATAAGTGTTTCAATTTCCCCATATGCTTGCCAACATTTGTTTGTTGTTTTTAATCTTAGCCATCCTAGTAGGAGTGAAATGGTATCTCATTGTGGTTTTGAATTGCACTGTCTGATGGGTAGTGACACTGAGCATTTTTTCATGTGTTTGGTGGCCATTTGAATGTTCTCTTTGGTGAAATGTCTGTTGAAGTCCTTTGCCCATTTTTTGATTGGGTTGTCTTTTTGTTGTTAAGTTGTCAAAGTTTTATGTATTTTTTGGAGATATGGTTTCTGAAAGTATTCTCCTAGTCAGTAGTTCGTCTTTTCACTTTTTGGGTAAAGTCTTTTGATGAACAAACATTTTTACTTTTTATGAGGTCCCATTTATTTATTTTGTCTTTTGCTGTTTGTGCTTTTGTTATTATGTTAGATAACCTGTTGTTGAAAGCTAGGCCTGACAGCGTTGCCCCTGCTTGTTCTTCTAAGAATTTTACGGTTTT